TGTGGCTAATGCCACACAAACAACTATCTCTTACACCCAATAAACCACAGAATGTGTACCCGAAGCTACAGATGAGAAATTAGTACAACTTATCCCACTGATTTTTGATGCCCAGGAAGCTGGAAAATGGACCCCAGAATGCTGCTGCAGGAAAGCCTCATATTCCAAACCTTGCTAGTAACAGCCAAGAGCCACAGGAAGATGTCTTTCACTCACATTCAACCTCCAAATCTTGTAGCATATTGTTTGTGTAGGGGAGAATAAAAGGCTTTCATATGCACAGATTGTCTCTGGAAGGATATGTAAACCAGTAACCATGATGATTTCTAAGATGAGGCTGGGAGACATGAGTAAGAGGGAGAAGCTTTTCATAGTGCACTCTTTTTATTTTGGCTTAATTGTACTGTGGTCATCATCACCTATTCAAAAAATTAGCAAATTAAATTTTACTTGTATCTTAGCTCAGTTTTTCACTGTATCTCAAGGGAACACACCCCCAGGCCTCCAAGGAAGCTTTCAAGGGTCTTTGAAAGGGGAGAGCAGGGGAGGTCCCTGGGTCCCCAGCTTCTGCTTCAGCCAGAGCAACTCTTGATTTTATCTGTTCTTTGGTTCAAGCTTCTGAGTAAGATTTTGTTTGAAGAAAGCATTTCCCTGCTCTTCTTAAAAATTAAAAGCTGCAGGGCGTGATGGCTCATGCCTGTAATCCCAGCACTTTGGGAGGTCAAGGCAGGTTGATCACCTGAGGTCAGGAGTTCGAGACCAGCCTGGCCAACATGGCAATAAAAACAAAAATTAGCTGGGTGTGGTGGCATGTGCCTGTAATCCCAGTTACTCGGGAGATTGAGGCAGGAGAATTGTTTGAACCCAAGAGGCAGAGGTTGCAGTGGGCAGATGTTGCAGTGAGCTGGGATCATGCCACTGCACTCCAGCCTGGGCAACAGAGCAAGACTCTGCCTTACAAAAAAATTAAAAGCTAGTGTTATAGAAGAATATTAAATGTCATGGAGAACTGTTCATTATTACATATTAAGAAATGGGAAAATGGGATAAAATATAAATGTAAATTTATAAGAATAAATACTTATAAATTTATTTTAAGAAAATAAATTTTCTTAAAATTTATTAAGAAAGACTAGAAGTACAAATACCAAATTTTCTCTTGATAGTATTTTACTATTTCTTTGTGGTTCTCTTTCCCAAATTTATGACAATTATTTTTAAAACTATTTTTATCAGCATAAATACACATTATTTTTAAATTAAATAGAAAAATACTCTTGAAAATTTATACATGTTATCAAATAAATGAAGTGTTGCTGGTTGACATCTGTGAAGAATTTGCTAGATAGAACCTCCAACTGATATGTCATAAATGTGGTAGATGTGGGTCAAGGTTTTTTTTTTTCATTGCTCAGGGAAATTCGGTAAGGCTGGAAACAGGTTAATCTCCTCCTGGCTCGCATCAACTTAGTCCTTTCAGCATTTATGTCAGCATACCATGAAAAAAATTTGGGAAGCACTGTGCTTTACTAACCTGGAAATAAGCATCTGTAGCATGCTTTAATTTGATTCTATATATTAACATATTATTTATACCTTATTCATTAAGAATAAGATTAATAACCCAAATAATAGACTAATAGCCCTAAAAAGGGCTACCATTTATTAAGTACTTAATCATGTACTAGGTACTGTCCTAAGTACTTTACATCTATTACTTCAGTTAATTCCCACGACAGCCATACAAAGTTTAGATATTCCAGTTTTATAGGTGAAAAAATGGATGCTATTATGTGAAATTAGTAACTAACTTGCTAAAATCTTGAATGGTAGAAGTAGGATTCTAACTAGTATCTTACTCCAGTGTCTGTAGTCTTAACCAGTATATTCTACTGTCCCCTTTTTTCAGGAACCTATCAATTATGTGAAGCAGTATACAGCTGTATCAGACAGATGATCACAAGTATAACAAGGGCTCTCTTCACCATCTCTCTCCCACTAGAGCATCAGCTCCATAAGGACAGAGAACTTGCCTGTCTTATCCACCTAGCACAATACCTGGAACATCATAGGAAGTTAGATATTTGTTGAATGAACAAGTAACTCTGGCTGCACATCAAAATTGCCCATATAGGTTTTGAAACATTCAGATGTCAGGAGCCTACCCCATCTCCCAGCTAGTATCACCAAGGGAAGAATTCAGGCAAGCATATATTTTTGAAGATTTACAGGAACCAGGCATGGTGGCTCATGCCTGTAATCTCAACACTTTGGGAGGCTGAGGTGGGTGGATCATATGAGGCCAGGAATTCGAGACCAGCCTGGCCAACAAGAGGAAACCTGTCTCTACTAAAAATATAAAATTTGATGGGTGTGGTGGCACACGCCTGTAATCCCAGCTCCTTGGGAGGCTGAGATGGGAGAATAGCTTGAACCCAGGAGTCAGAGGTTGCAGTGAGCCAAAATTGTTCTGCCTCACTCCAGCCTGGGTGACAGAGTGAGAACCTGCCTCAAAAACTAATAAAAATAAAATAAAATAAAACTACAGGTGATCCTAATGCCTAGTCAAGATACAGAACCCCTATCCTAGAGCAGTGGTTCTCTAACTTGAATATGCAGCGGAATTACCTGCAGAACTTGTTAAAATGCCCAGAGCTTCCATTTACTAGGTCTGGGGTAGAGCTTGAGAATTTGTATTTATTCAAGTTCCCAATAGTGCTGTTTCTGTGAATCACATGTTTAAGAACTGTCCTAGAGACTGGGTTGTGTAGAACTAAATCAATACATTTTTACCTAGAACTTAAGCAGGAGATTTATTTAGTCAGACAGACCAAAATAAACATTGGTCACTCAAGCAATGGAGATTTTAGTCACAGTATTCAAAACATCCAGGAATCTGTCGTGCCCATTGAGCTTGTTGCTCTAAAAGTTTCTTTGAACAATTACATATTATTTTTTTTCCAAGCCAAACTATATCCAGCTTTATTAAAGTTACTTTCCATAAACAATCAGGGTATTTCAGGCAGGACATGGGCAGATAATCATTAACAGTGTACAACAACTTTCAAACTCCCTTCTTCAATGGACTACCAAAATCAAAAAGCCACTATAAAACACCATAAGATCTTCATTTGATGCTCTGAACGGAAAGGTTAGAGTGAGGGTTGACATTTCACATTTAGCATGTTGTTTAACAGCTTTTCATGAACTGACCCTGACTTCCAGGAAATGAAATAAAAATGGCAGAATTTATCTGAAAATATGAAAATCCACAGTCTAGAAGTGGAAACTCTACTCTTTGGGGTGCTCCATCTCAGTGACACCACTGTAAAGTCTAATTGCCTGACACACTGGTAACCAATTACTGGAGGGTCAGGGCCCAACAGAGTTTGGGTTTAAGGGAGTTAAGTCTGTGTTGAAGATGATGAGGGAGAAGAGGACATAACAACCAATTTGTTTTTTCATACCACAAGGGATTTGTGCCAAGGTGGCTACATGTCTCAGAGTCATGGAATCCCTCCTCCTGGGAGTCAAGAGGAAATCTCTCAAAATGGGAAGGGAAAGGTGTTTTCCCCACATCAATCCAGCATCAGAGACATTCTATTAGTAACCTATGACCCTTTCCCACAATACAACAGTAAAGTGTTCTGTGTGCTAACAACATAGCTTTAAAAAAGTAAATCAAGGTCGGGCATGGTGGCTCACTTTAAGAAGCTGAGGCAGGTGGATCACCTGAGGTTAGGAGCTTGAGACCAGCCTGGCCAACATGATGAAACCCCATCTCTACTAAAAATACAAAAATTAGCTGGGCATGGTGACAGGTGCCTGTAATCCCAGCTACTGGGGAAGCTGAGGCAGGAGGAAAAAAAGTTAAACAAATTTTGCATTTTTTAAAAACTTGATAAAAATAGTATTTCAAACTATACAGTCACCAGAAATACACAGTCACCAAAAATGCACACACTTCACTTGGCATCTCCAGCACCTTCAGTTTCCTCTGCCTGGTCTGTTTTGGCATCTTCATTTTCTGCAAGGTTATTCCCCTCCCTGCCAGTGTCAGCATTTTCCTTTTTCCCTTTGGGTACCTCCTCTCTCTCCTTTGCGGGGTCCTTTTTAGGGTTGGGCTCTGGCTTTGGAGGAGCAGGTTAAGCAAACAACCTTGCGGATCTTCTCTGGCTTGTTCTTCACCTTGACTCTGTCTCCTTTAGCATCCCCTTCAGCTTTCTCTTGGGCATGGCAGTGATGCGACAGGACATAGGCCAAGGATGCAGGAATGCAGCAGCAGGCAGACTTTGGTTGGGCTGGGGTTGTTCTTTCCCCTTCTTCACATTGCTCAGGCTCTGGGTGCTTTATAGTTTTTTTCAGCATATTTTAAGCCTCCTAGAGAAAAACATTTCTTTGATCAGTTTGACCTTAAACTGTTTGGGCCCACACAGGCCAGTTTTTACGCTCTTGGAAAGATGTCCTCAGCTGCTCAGGCACTCATCCATGTTCCGCCTCCAAGCAGTGTGGTGTCCACTCCCTAGAACTCTGGGGTCTTATCTTAAATGGAGAGCCTCTGGTTTCTCCTTATGGGTGCTCTCTTCTTCCATGATCTTCCTTGTCCTGGACCAGGAGATCTGGCAACAGAAACTTTGATAGAGCCCTTTTCCTTTTTTTTTTCTGGGTATTATTTGAAGAACCAAAGTTCCTGGGTGACATCTAGTCTTAGAGTATTCAGAAACTGTCATAGACTAGTAAATATGTTTCCATTATCTGCAACTGCAGCTAATAGAAATTAGTAAGAGTTATTACGTACCAGTGAACACTGGGCTTTGGGTGAAAATTATAAGCTTTTATATCTAGCTGATGGGCCTTGTACCTAATAGTATTTGGCTTGGTTTTTTAGTGTGATTTCCATCTCATGCCTGTTGCTTTCGTACCATTCATTTTATGTATTTTTAATTGTTTAAAGAAGAGCTGCTCGGGTTTTATAAGTGGTGTTTTTCTCCTTCTTTTAGGTCTCTCTGCAATGCAATCAATGTTTACAACCTCACCTGCAATAACTGTTCAGAAAACTGCACTGATGTTCTGTTTAGTAACAAGATTACCTTCTTAATGGACCTCCTGATACACCAGTTGACGGTATGTAATATTATTGCTTTGAGTTAGAAGCAGTTGACGTTTGAGAAATAGTCCCTGTGGAGAAAACTGAAAGAATTCAACTTATTTACTCTCCAGATGGGGGAAAAAAAAGAAGAAAGTGAAGATGACTGCGAGAATAGAGACTGGCAGACAAACTTAATAATTTGAAATTTTTGCACTGAATTCTTTTAAGTTCCAATATTTAATGGATAATAGACTTATAACACTTGCTAAGGTTACAGATTTACATAGTTAGACTGGGTCTTTGGAATCAGTTGGATGCAAAGCCAAACCTCTAAAGCCACAGGAATGAGTACTGTAGAAAGGAAGAATGTTAGGAAAGCCTCAAAACCCCTCTTGCCAGGTTAAGTTAAAAGGGTCAGTTTAAGAGGACTTTTTGATGGATATTTAGATTATTTTAGAAAAGAAAACTCCTCTGTTAGAAAGGGGAAAACTTGTTATATTGTTGAAATGGGAACAAGCAGCCAATTGTCACCTTAAATTTTACTTCAGTTCACAGATGTTGAAAGAGGTAAGCTCAATATAACAGCCAAAGGTTTAAGTATGTCAACTGGAGTCGCCAGGAGTTTCCTGGTGAAGTTTCTAAGTCCCTGAGGTATCGGCACAAAATAGCTCTCAATCTGCAAGTTTATAACACAAGAGATTTATTTTTCAGAACCGATTTAGTTTTACTCAGCACACAGCTCTAATAACTCTTCCTTAAACTACAAGCCTTTGCCTCTATCTCGTTCATTCTTATGCATTTTGCAGTCCTTAACCAAGGCTTAATGTTACCTTCTTCATGAAATCTTCCCCAGCCTGACTCTTCCCCCAAATTCAAGTTAAGTATACTTCTTATGTGATTTTAGGTATTAACATCTCTGATAGAATTGATCACATTGAACTGTATCTAACTATTTTCTTGTCAGTTTCCCCCACTAGCCATAAAATCGATGAGGACAGCAAGTAAGTTATCACTATCTCCAAGATGCTAACATAGGACCTGGCACTTAGTAGATTCAGTACATCATTGTCTGTATGTGTGGGTGAATAAATGAATTTTGATACATCGCAAGCTGAAAATCAGAAATGGAATTATGAAACCCTTACAGTCAGACATATTGACATTGAGAGGGAATAGCAATAAGGGAAAGCAACAAAAATACAGATCTGGAACTGTTGCACAATATAGCAATGGATTTTTATAGTGATGATAGTGAGTCATCAATCAAAGGCTACATTATATATGATTTTGTCTAAAAAATAAGGCATTAAAATATGAGTAAGATATTTTAGCAAAAAAAAAAAATTCTATCAGAAATATTTGAAAGGCAGCACAAGGAGAAAAGATAACATTTTTTGTATGGCCTTATATCCCAGGCATTTTAATATATTTGCTTCATTTAATTTTGAAAACAGCTTCTTAAAGTCAGTATTACTATTCCATTTCACAGATGAGGAAACTTGAGTCCCAGAGAGGTTGACTTGCCCAAGGCTACATAGATATTAAGTCAGAAAACCAAGAATCAGAGCTAGGTGTGTCAAACCCAAGTTGGGGGCATTCTGCACAATAACTGACTAATGTTTATCAAATACGTCAATATCATGAAAGACAAGGAAAAAGTGAGGAACTGTCACAGAATGGAGGAGAGTAACGAGACATAACAATTAAATGTAATGTATGATCCTGGACCACAAAAAGGACATCAATGGGAAAACTTGGAAATTCAAGTAAGATCTATAGAACAGTCTGTTTTATCAGCTCAATGTTAATTTCCTCCTTTCAATTATTATACTACGTTTTTGTAAGATGTTAATAGTAAGGGACACTGGGTTAAAGGAATGCTCTATTTTTACAACATATTTGTTTACTTAATATTATTTCAAAACAAGAATGAAAAAAAAAAACTTCATGCTCTCCTATCATTTTATATTGCATCATCTGGAAGAATTTACTCCATGAAGCTTATTCTATGTTGGTGGTGGAAGAAGAGACATTACTTTGAACAGAACAAGTAATGAAAGAGAATGGCATTTGGAATGTGAGGGAATGAACAAGAAGACTTAAAGAAAGAATCTTGGTTCTGCATATATATAGATGTCATGTGTCATAATATAGATGACATATTGTCTTAGTCTAGGCCGCTATTACAAAATACCATAGACTGAGTGGCTTATAAACAACAGAAATTTATTTCTCACATTCTGTAGTCTGGAAGTTCAAGATCAAGGTACCATCATAGTCAGGTTATGGTGAGGGCTCTCTTCCAGGTTTCAAACTGCTGACTTGTCGCTTTATCCCCAGATGGTGAAAAGAGTGCAAGCTAATTCTCTGGCCTCTTTTTATAAGGGCACTAATCCTATTCATGAGAATTCCATCCTTATGACCAAATTACCTCCCACAGGCCCTGTCTCCAGATATCATCACATTAAGCATTATATTTCAACATGTGAATTTGGGAGGGACACAGCATTCGGACCCTAGTACATACAGTAAATGATATGATGGCAGCCTGTATAGAGTACTCTGGGAGCACAGAGAAAGATATTCAGTGATTCTCCCTGGGACATCACGAAAGAGGGACATTTGAGTTAGTTCTCAGCTCCTCATAATAGCTATCATTTATTAAGTACCAACCGTGGGCCTGGAGCTGGTAAGTACCTTGATCATTTTCTTCTTCTTTGAAAGCCCTAGTTCCCTTTGAATAACCTTGATTGTAACCCAAGGTTTCTTGACCTCAGAAAAGCTTTTAATCTCTCAGTGGATTTGATCACATTCTATGTTTATTCTGCCCATCAATTTTGCTCAGTTTGGAACTGGGATCCTGGGACATTAGTTTGCCAAACACATTTTATCCTTTTTTTCCTTATACATGGAACTTTCTGAGTTTTTTCGTTCCTTTTGGGCTCTTTATTTTATCGCCGTCGATTCTTATTGTTGCTGTGACTGGGTTTGTGGCAGTGAGTAAAGGAGGATGTGTTTCCTGGTTTGGGGTGGTTGGTGATGGTGATTTTTATGTTTCTGAAAATCACTTGAATGTATTTTCATTTTTCTTGCTAACCAGTTTTAATTTACATGTCACTGAAACATGGACCACTGACTTGTTAGTATCCTTGAAATAAGGGATGAAAAAATAGTGATCAATACATTTTCCAACAAAAATAGAAAAAAGCATAAAAGAAGCTAATTAATTGTGATCTGGTGTTATTTATAAGACAACTGATTATCATCAGCTTCTTCAGTCTTTCTGGTTGTTTCACAAACCCAGATGGTTTAGGAGACGTTTTTCTTCTAGCCACTTGGAGTTTGTTTTGGCACTCTTGTATTTCATTTTAATTGCTATTTCCAAAACATTGTACAGATGCCTGGGTTATAGAGGTGAATTGGACACAGTTCCATCACTCTAGAAGCCCACAGTTAAGGAAGAAAGAAATTGCATATGCAAATATTAATGACTATAAGAAGCTGTGAGAAGTTCTATAATGTTATCAGAGCTACAAAGTAGCTCAGACAACCTAGTAGAGTACCTAGCACATAATAGGTGTTTGTTCAGTATTTGATGAATGAATGATACATTCTAACTTGGGGGAATTGGGAAGATTTGGGGGAAGAAGTTTTTTGTGGTTTTTTTTTTTTTTTTTTTTTTTTTTGAGACGGAGTCTCGCTCTGTCGCCCAGGCTGGAGTGCAGCCGCCGGATCTCAGCTCACTGCAAGCTCTGCCTCCCGGGTTTACGCCATTCTCCTGCCTCAGCCTCCCGAGTAGCTGGGACTACAGGCGCCCGCCACCTCGCCCGGCTAATTTTTTGTATTTTTTAGTAGAGACGGGGTTTCACCAGGTTAGCCAGGATGTGGGGGAAGAAGTTTAATTTGGTCATACCTTGAATACTTGGAACCCAGGGGTTCAAAGCTACAGTGTGCCATGATTGTGCCACTGCACTCCAGTCTCAGCAACAGAGTGAGATCCTGTCTTTTAAAAAAGAAAGAAAAAAAAGACACCCAATTCTCAGCTTCTCTGGGAGGGAGAGAGAAGAGTGGAGCATGTGTACAATATCCCAGCTTTTTGGAAGTCTGCCTGAGAGACTGCTATCTGTCTTGCCTGACTTGGGGCTAGCATACTTTGGATGCTGATGAGAAGAACAAAGAGCAAGGAGGCTTGCTGCCATAAAACTAGAGAACATACAATGTGTATTAGTCCATTTTCACACTGCTATAAAGAACTACCTGAGACTGGGTAATTTATAAAGAGAAGAGGTTTAATTGATTCACAGTTCTGCAGGCTGTACAGTCCTTGAGAAACTTACAATCATGGCAGAAGACGAAGGGGAAGCAGGAACATTTTACATGGCTGGAGAAGGAGGAAGAGAGTGAAGGAGGAGATGCTACACACTTTTAAACAACTCGATCTTGTGAAAACTCACTATCACAAGAACAGCAAGGGGAAAATCTTCCTTGTGATCCAATCACCTCCCACCAGGCCCTTCCTCCAACATTGAAGGTTACAATTCAACATGACATCTGGGCAGGAACAGAAATCCAAACCATATCACAGTGCTAAAGACAGATACCAGCAGAAGGAAGAGATTATGATCACTTGAATAAGAAAGCAGCAAGCATCTCTAGTTGAGAAAGTGCATACATAGGCCTAGAGAAGTTGTATCCCCACCAAAGTTTGCAGAGGTCCCCAGAACCCCTAGCTGAGCTGATTAGTGAGGGTTTTCCACACTACAAAACCCAGTTCATAAACACTGGAAGAAGTGGCTTTTTTTGTCAAGTGCACAGATCCCAACAAAGCTTTCAAGACGTAGGAAGAAACAGGGAAACATGGCCCAAAGAAAGGAGCAAAATAAATCTTCACAAACCAACCCTAAAGAAACAAAGACATGAATTACCTGACAAAGGATTCAGAATAACCCTCATAAAGATGCTCTGTGAGCTAAAGGTAACAATGTATGAGCAAAATGAGAATATCAACAAAGAGACAGAAAATACACACACAAAAAAAGAACCAACAAATTTTGGAACTGAAGAATATAATAACTGCACTGAAAAATTCACAATAGGGGTTCAACAGCAGACTCAGTCAAGCAGAAGAAACAGCAAACTCAAGACAAGTTATTTGACGTTATCCACCCAGAGGAAAAAAAAAGAAAAAAGAATGAGAAAGAGTGATGAAAGCCTAAGGGATTTGTGGCATACCATCAAGCCAACCCATATACACATTATGGAAAGTTCACAAGAAGAAGACAGAAAGGAATGGGCAGAAAATTTACTTAAATAATGGCCCAAAACTTCCCAAATCTGGGAAAGAAAATGGACATCCAGTTTCAAGAAGCCTAAAGGACCCTAAATAAGATCAACATAAAGAAACACACACCAAGACACATTATAATAAAATTGTCAAACTCTCAAAGAAGTAAGAGAATTTTGAAAACAAAAAAGTGACTTGTCGTTTACTAGGGAACAGACATAAGACTATCAACATATTTCTCAGCAGAAACCCTGCAGGCCAGAAGGGAGTGGAGGGATATATTCAAAGTGCCAATTAACTGATCTTTGACAAGATTGCCAGGAATATACAGCAGGAAAAAGATAGTCTTCAATAAATTGTGTTGGGAAAACAGGATATCCACATGCAAAAGAATGATATTGGACCCTTATCTTACACCATACACAAAAATAAACTCAAAACTGATTAAACACTTAAATGTAAGACTTGAACTTTGTTAAACTCCAAATTAAAACATAGGGGAAAACCTTCATAACATTGATCTTGACAGTGATTTATTGGATATGACACCAAAGCAGGGGCAACAAAAGCCAAAAATAGATAAATGACTCTATGTTAAACTAAAAAGCTTCCGCATCAGAGGAAACAATAAACAGTGCAGAAAGGCAATGTACAGAATGAAGGAAAATATTTGTAAACCATGTCTGATAAAAGGGTGCTGTGGGCTGAATGTTTGTGTCCCCAGAATTCATATGTTGAAACCTAATCACCACTGTGATGGAATTAGGAGGAGGGGCCTTTGAAAAGTGATTCAATCTTGAGGGCAAAGCCCTCATGAATAGAATCAGAACCCTTATAAAAGATGCCCCAGAGAGCTGCCTTACCCCTTCTGTCAGGTGAGGTCATAACTGGAAAGTGCCTTCTATGAACCAGAAAGCACCACTTCTGCCAGCATCTTGATCTCAGGACTTCCTAACTTCTTGAACTGTGAGAAATAAATTTTGTTTGTTGTTTATAACAGTATTTTTTTATAGCAGCTCAAATGGAATAAGTCAGAAGTTAGTATCCAAAATATGTAAAGAACTACAACTCAATAGCAAAAATATATGATAATCAATTAAAAATGAGCAAAGGGCTTAAACAGACATTTCTTCAAAGAAAATATACAGATGAACAACAGGTATATGAAAAGATGACCAAAATCACTAATCACTGTGAAAATGCAAATCAAAACCACAATGAGATATCACCTCATACCTGTTAGGATGGCTGTTATAAAACAAATCAGAAAATAAGTATTGGTGGGAGTGTGTTGAAATTGCAAACGTTTGCACTTTTGGTGCAGTCACTAAGGAAAAAAGTACGGAAGTTCCTCAAAAAAAATAAATAAAAAACAGAACTACCATATGATTCGTCAATCCTGCTTCTGGGTATTTATTCAAAATAATTAAAATTGGGATCTTGACTAGATATCTGCACTGCCATGTTCACCTCAGCATCATTCACAAGAGCCAAGAGGTGGAAACACCTAAATATTCATCAACAAATGAGTGGATAAAGAAAATGTGGCGTATATAATTGACCCTTAAACAACACAAGTTTGAACTGCATGGGTCTATTTATGCATAGATTTTTTTTCAACCAAACATGGATCAAAAACGCAGTATCCATGGGATACAAAAACCCACACATATGGAGGATTGACTTTTCATATATGCAGCTTCCACAGAGCTGACTGCAGGACTGAGAATATGCAGATTTGGGTATACACAGAGAGCGCTGAACCAATCCCCTGTGTATAGTGAGGGACAACAGTACAAACAATGGAATATTAATCTACCTTTAAAAAGAAGGGAATTCTGTCATATGCTGTAATGTATAAACCTTGATGACGTTATAAGTGAAATAAGCCAATTACAAAGAGAAATACTGCATGATTCTACTTAAATGACATATCTAAAAGAATCAACCTCATAGAAACAAAGTAGAATGGTGGTTGCCAGGGACCAAGGAGAGGGGGAAACAGAGTTGTGTAATAGGTTTAGAGTTTCAGTCACGTGAGACGAAAAAGTTCTAGAGATCCATTTTACAACAATGTGCATATAGTTAACAATATTGTAATATGCACCTAAAAATGATAAAGAAAATTTGTGTCTTTTTAAAAAAAAAAAAAAAAAAAGACCAGTGAAAGTACTACTGAGTGCTGTGAAAATAGATAGATAAGCTTTTAATGTTGGGAAAGATCTAAACAGTCCAATATACTGATGAGCAAATTGAGATATGGAAAAGGATCACAGAGCTACCTAGTGGCAGAAGCATGACCTGGACCCTGGTCTTCTGAGTCCCTGACCAGGACTTCCCTTCCTATAAGCTCAATTGATGTGTCCTCATTTTCTTAAGTTGACAAATGAAACAAAGCAACAATTTTGTGACTTTAATTTTATAAGTTTAATAGTATTACTTTGGTAAGATATACTGAAAAGCACTTAATTAAAAGATTTATAATTTCTCGATGTTTCATTGCATTTTAAAAGGCATTAAATATTTTATTAGCAGTCTTATTTTTAATTCATAGTGACCTGTTCTTTATGAAATATTTAACGAATACGCTGATAAATTGTGTGTATGTATTTTTGGGAGCCAAGGAGATTGTTAATTGAAAAGTGATGTACTAACCTTAAATAATTGATATGATACTGTTGAATCTGAGAGGCTGCTGGTGAGCTCTTCAGAAGGTGACAAGAAAGCCCTGGATACAAACAAAGGAAATCTAAGTGCAACCTTACAACAAGGGGATTGTTTTTCACTTAGTCATGTGCAGAGACGTCCAGATGCCTGTTGATTTTCTTTACAGCAGCAAGGCCTGGAACTCTCCATTCACCACATTGTTTCTTTATATTGAGTTGCCAGAACATAGACTCCATAGTTAATTACATAGGAGCAAAAATCCCTCAACACTACAGGTAACAGTACTCTTCCAGTTGCATCCTGTTCCCTTCTTTCCTCACTATATAGTATGGTACTTGCTCAGCATGTCTAGGACACATTGCCTTTTCCTTCAATAAAAGTGTGAACTCTGTTTATGTCTACTGTGCCATATGTCTTACTGACACAGAATTTCAAAACTGGAGAGGAGGTCTTCATAATGTGTAGTCTATTTCAGTCCACTCATTTTATAGATGAGGATAATGGACTTCAGAAGAGGAGAGGGATGGGAAATATGTGGGGTTGGATACTTGCCCAAGTTGTACAGCCTGTTACCAATGTAACTGGGATACAAATTCAGGTCTCCTAAATCCGAAGCTAACTTTCTATTATTTTACTTAACGGACAGCTCATTTTTAAGGTTAGTATATCATTTTTCAATTAACAATCTCCTTGGTTCCCAAAAATACATACATACAATTTATCAGTGTATTCGTTAAATAATTTACAATGACACGTCAAGAAGTTATAAAATCTTTTAATTAAGTGTTTTTCAGTATATCTTACCAAAGTAATACTATTAAACTTATAAAATTAAAGTCACAAAATTGTTGCTTTGTTTCATTTGTCAGCTTAAGAAAATGAGGACACATCATTTTAACTTACAGGAACAGAAGTCCTGGTCAGGGACTCAGAAGACCAGGGTCCAGGTCATGGTTTCTGAAAAACAGAAAAATCACCATTAGGCAAAAACCAAAGTAATAAATATTGCAGGAGAGAATCATTGGTGGGTGCAAAAATTAGTGGACAAATGTATGATGAGAAAGAGGATATTTGCATAATTTCAAAATAATTTCCCACAAAATAATCTTTTTTTGTAAAAAAAAAAAAAAACAAGGGTGGGGGGGGAAATAGTAGCTTCACAGTGAAAACCTTGGTAGACATCACTTTAACCAAGTTATCAAAACTAACATCACTACTACTGATGTTGCTATGTCAACATCAGTACTCTCTGATAATAATATATGTTTACAAGCTCACAGCATCACTTCTATGATATGCTTGGCAAAAATGCATAACCACCATCAAACTGTGAAAAAACATCAGACCAAAAATTGAGGGGCATTTTACAGAATAACTAACCACAGCTATTTCAAATATAAAGACTGAAAAACAGATTAGAGGAGACTAAAGAGGTATGACAATTCTTTGTGGAATCTTGGATTGGATCCTGGACTGAAAAAAAGAACATTAGTGGGGAAACTGGCAAAACTCTTATAAGGTCAGTAGATAAATTCATTGTTTTGAGCAAGTGTTAATATTCTGGTTTTGGTAATTGTGCTGTAGTTGTGTAGGATATTAACATTAAGGAAAGTTAGGAGAAGCCTAAAATTGCTTACAAAAGTTTTATATTTTTAAAAATTCACTAAATGGGTTTGACAGCAGGTTGGAGATGACAGAGGAAAGGGTCATTAAACTTGAAGTTACATCAATAGGAATTAATGTAGTCTGAAGAATGGAAAGATAATTTAAAAGGGAATAGAGCCTCAGAGACTTATAAGACAATATCAAACAGTGTAACATACATATCACTGGATATCCAAAAGGAGAAGAGAGAGAGAATGAGACATGAACATTTTTTTTTTTTTTTTTTTGAGACGGAGTCTCACTCTGTCGCCCAGGCGGGAGTGCAGTGGCCAGATCTCAGCTCACTGCAAGCTCCGCCTCCCGGGCTTAGGCCATTCTCCTGCCTCAGCCTCCCGAGTAGCTGGGACTACAGGCGCCCGCCACCTCGCCCGGCTAGTTTTTTTGTACTTTTTAGTAGAGACGGGGTTTCATCATGTTCACCAGGATGGTCTCGATCTCCTGACCTCATGATCCGCCCATCTCGGCCTCCCAAAGTGCTGGGATTACAGGCTTGAGCCACCGCACCCGACCTATGAACATTTTTTGTGTAAAAAATAATGGCTAAAATATTTTCCTGTTTTAGTGAAAGACATAAATATGCAGATTCAAGAAGCTCGGAAAAGGAAGTTAAATTGTCCCCATTTGCAGATGGCATGATCTTATATTTAGGAAAACCCAAACTCCACCAAAAACTCTTAGATCTGGTAAATGAATTCAGTAAAGTTGAAGAATACAAAATCAACTTATAAACATCAGTAACATTTCTATACACCAGTGATGAAATAGCTGAAAAGTTAAGAAGGAAATTCCATCTATAACAGCTATAAAAATAAAATTCTTCAGAATAAATTTAGCTAAAACGGTGAAAGACATCTGCAAGGAAAAGTACAAAACACTGAGAAAGAAACTGAGGAGGACCCAGGAAAGATATTCATGCTCGTGGATCAGAATAATTAATGTAATAAAGTGACTATACTACCTAAAGAAACCTACAGATTCAGTGCAATCCCTATCAAAACACCAATTTCATTTTTAATAGAAACAGAAAAAAATCATATATTACAAGGCCGTAGTAACCAAAACAGCATGATGTTGGTATAAAAACAGCCATACAGATCGATGGAACAGAAAAGAGAACCCAGAAATAAATCCACTTATTTACAGCCAACTGATTTTTGACAAGATGCCAAGAACATACATTGGGGAATGGACTCCCTCTTTAATAAGTAGTGCTGGGAAAACTGGATAACCACATGCAGAATAATGGGACTAGACCCCTATCTCTCCCCATGTACAAAAATCAACTCAAAATGGATTACAGACCTAAACAAAAGAGGTAAATTATATAACTGCTAGAAGAAAACATAGGGGAAATTCTGCTGGACATTAGTCTAGACAAAGACTGTATAGCCACAGTGCTATAATACCAGCTTAAGGAGACTGTGAGAAGTTCAGGTTGTGTATTGTAACTCCTTCAAGCAACCACTAGCAAAATAACTTAGAAGCCAATGGTAAATTAAAATGGGATTCTAAAATATATTCAAATATTCCAAAAGAAAAAGGAAAAGAGGAATTAGAGAATAAAACACAGAGAGAACAAACAGAAAAGAAATAATAAAACAGTAGACCTAAACCCAAGGTGTCAGTAATTAAATGTGTAAAGCCAGCTGGGTGCCGTGGCTCATGCCTATAATCCCAGCACTTTGGGAGGCAGAGGCTGACGGATGACAAGGTCAGGAGATGGAGACCATCCTATCTAACACAGTGAAACCCCATCTCTACTAAAAAATACAAAAAAATTAGCTGGGCGTAGTGGCAGGCACCTGTAGTACCAGCTACTCAGGAGGCCGAGGCAGGAGAATCACTTGAACCCAGGAGGCAAAGGTTGCAGTGAGCCAAGATCGTGCCACTGCACTCCAGCCTGGGTGACTGAGCGAGACTCCATATTTAAAAAAAAAAAAAAGTGTAAAGCCCTCCGGTTGCAAGATAGAAATTGTTGGAATGGATAAAAAGACTAACCATGTGCTCTATCTACATGAGATGCATTTAAAATACAAAGATTGAACCCATATAAATATAAGTTGAAAGTAAGTGGATAAAACATATATAGTAAGCATAAGAAGATAAGTAGCTATATTAATATCAAAGTAGAATTTAATATCACTGTATTAGTAGATGCAAAGAGGCATTGCCTATTGATATCAAATCAACAGGAAGATCTAATAGTCATAAATGTGTATAGTACAAAATACATGAAGCAAAAATTGACAGACTATAAGGAAGAAAGAAACAGTTTCCATATGAGAATTTCCATTCTCATAGATGGATATTTTAACAGATCTCTTTCAGCAACTGATAAAATAACTAGACCAAAAAAATCAATAAAGATATACATGACATGAACAATACCATTATCAACCACTTTGACCTAATTGATATTTATAGATCACTGCACCTAGCAACTGTAGAATACACACATTCTTTCTGGGCATACTGAGGATGTTCAAGATACACTATATGATGGATCATAAGACAGTTTTAATACATGTAAAGAGCTTGAAATAATAGAAAATATGTTCTCTGAAGACAGTGGGATGAAGTTAGAACTCAATATTATGTATCTACAAATTCACAAAGACATGAGAAAATATTTTGAACTGAAAAATATTTTCAATGAAAATATATCATCAGGAAACAACAGATGCTAGCGAGGATGTGGAGAAATAGGAACGCTTTTACACTGTTGGGAGTGTAAATTAGTTCAACCATTGTGGACGAAAATGTGGCAATTCCTCAAGGATCTAGAATCAAAAATACCACTTGACCCAGCAATCCCATTATTGGGTATATACCCAAAGGATTATAAATCATTCTGCTGTAAAGACACATGGACATGTATGTTTATTGCAGCACTATTTACAATAACAAAGACTTGGAACCAACCCAAATGCCCATCAATGATAGAATGGATAAAGAAAATGTGGCATATATACACCATGGAATACTACACAGCCATAAAACAGAATGGTTTCATGTCCTTTGCAGGGACATGGATGAAGCCGGAAACCATCATCTTCAGCAAACTAACACAGGAACAGAAAACCAAACACCACATGTTCTCACTCATAAGTGGGAGCTGAACAATGAGATTACATGGACACGGGGGGGGGGAGGGGAACATCACACGCCAGGGCCTGTCAGGGGTTGGGGGGCAAAGGGAGGGAGAGCATTAGGACAAATACCTAATGCACGCGGGCCTTAAAACCTTGATGACGGGTTGGTAGGTGCAGCAAACCACCATGGCACATGTATACCTATGTAACCTGCACATTCAGCACATGTATCCCAGAACTTAAAATAAAAATTAAAAATAAAATTTTTAAAAGCTAAAAAATACTAGGTATGTGGTGGTGTACACCTATAATTCCAGCTTTTCAGGAGGCTGAGATAGAATTGCTTGAGCCCAAGAGTTCAAGGCTGTGGTGCATTATGATAATACCTGTGATTTCCAGGCTGGGCAACATAGCGAGACCCCAGCTCTTAAAAAAAAAACAGTGCTTAGAGGAAAATTTATACCTTTAAATAGAAGTATTATACAATTAGTGCATTCTGAATACAATGCAGTTAAGGTAGAAACCAGTGAAGATGAAGATCCTTATATACATTTAGAAATTTAGAGATTCCCATAATAAACTCAAGAGCAATAGAGTAAATCACAAGTTTTTAAAACTTAAAATGGAAAAATAGTGAAATCAAAACATCGAGTTGTACACCTGAAGTATATACAATTTTTGCTTGTCAACTATACCCCAATAAAGCTGGAGGAATGGAAATAGCAATGAAAAAACTGCGTATCAAAATGTTTGGGATGCAGTTAAAGCAAAACCGTAAAAAAGGTATAAGCTTAAATACTTAGGCTTCATAAATTACAATTGATCAAGAACAAACAAGAGGCACAAATAATGAATAAAATGGGAAATTTAACTATAAGTTGAGGAAGAATTGAAAAGTTAAGAAAATACTTTGAACAGCTTTATACCAGTGCATTTGAAAGCTTTAACGAATTTAAATTCCTAGAAAAATATAACTCACCAGACCAACTCAAGAAGAAATAGAAAGCCTGAATAATTTTTTAACAGTTAAATAAATTAGTTATTTAAAATCTGTCTATTAAAAAAAGCACCAGGCCTAGATAATGCTACAGCTAACTTCCAGCAAATGTTCCAGGAACAAGATCATTTCAATATTAAACTATGCCAGGAAGATAAAACGTGTGATTTCTTCGCAGTTCATTTTTTCGAGACCACTATAACCTTGGTAATAAAACCAGACAAAGATGGTGCAAGAAAAAAAAAATTACAGGCCAGTCTCTCTAATGAACCAAGATGTCAAAATTCTAAAAATATTAGTAAATTCAATGAATTATGAAAATGAGATATTTTTGCAAAATGTGAAAGCAAGCAAAACTAAATGTTATATTCTCTAGGGACACATTTATGTGATAAAATCTTTGTTTAAGCAAGGGAATGATAAACACAAAATCACGATAGTGGTTACTAGGTTAGGGAGATGGGGAATGAGATACTTGAAGAGCCAAAAATAAATTAAATGTATTGATATTATTCCCATTAAATTATTTAAATTTTACTTAAAAATTTAAAGACACAGTTGTAGTGTTCTTGGAATTCGTGATCAGTGGATAGCTCAAACAAGCAGTCAAATACAGTATATTTAAGGATTATGATGAGTCAAGGCAGTGCTGATTTTCAGGGGTCAAAGTTCCTAGACAAAGTAATATCTAAATATTACTAATATCTGAGACCTGAAGGATGAGTAGTAATGTGATCATCTAGGAAAACGATGAGAAAAAAAAAATCATCCTTAGCAAGGTTTATAACCCAAGTCAAAGGAAGGGGGATGAGTGCTAAGTGGTGAGAGCTCTAGCTGCTGACATAAGTGGGGATCCACTTGTGAAGGATACTAAGTTAGTGGTAATAGGACATAGCCTCAGCTCTTGCCCTGTAGATGCTTGCTTGTCTCTCCGGTTTCAAATATGGGGAAATAATGTACTTATTATACTACTACATTTTGGAAAATAATGCCCTGTATTTTAAATAGACACAAACAATAACTGATCTATTAGTTTAAGCAGGAAGACCTGTATCTCAGATCATTCTCCAAGTATGTTTTTACCAATGAGAGAGAAATATTTATTTTCTTGTGCCATACCCATTTCCCAAGAAGA